ACAAGGGGTGTTTTAGACTACCTTGCAGAGAGAGGTCGAGTTAACAACAGTGTTCAGTGTTGCTTAAGCCTGGCAGAGTGAGAGGTGTGAGGCTGGGGTGGGTGAGTGTGTGCATATCACACGGTGTACCTCTTCATGCAATGAGGTTTACCTGCAGTTTACCTGGAGACAGTTTTTGGGGTCGGCGCCCCCCGCCTCCCGGTCCCGCAGCAGGCCTCCCGGTGGATGACCTAATTAACCAGGCTATTGGTGCTAGCCAAACTACTTATTTTACCTGCACTGTCAAGGTGATTTGGAAAATTTAATTATATTTTGACATTTTCTAATTACTGTAGGCTGTGGGTTTTTCATTCCATTCGGGCTCGAACTGTCGTCTGCAGAGCAGCTTTACTTTACGTTTACCTTACGACCGTTTGGGGGTTCACCGCTTCCGCAGACACCCCCGCCCCCGGTCCGTGACTAGGCCAGGAGGTCTGGTTTGGAACAGAGCTGTTGGGGATAGCCGCACGCAGCCCAACGTATGCACCACAGCCCGGCTGATCAGGAACAGATTTGAGAAAGTTATCAAGTTCCCCCTTGAAGAGAATTAAGAGGTTTGTAGGTAATTCCCCTTTTGCAGGAAGGAAGTACGTTGAAGAGTCGAGGACCTCTGACACTTATTGACCTCTCTCTTAGTGTATTCGTAGCGTCCATGCATTTTATTGGAGGTACTGTACACCATCTGCCAAGTTTCTTGCTTTTATACGGAGTGATTTTAGTGTGCAGATTTGGGACCAGTCCCTCCAGGATTTTACAGGTGTAAATTATAATGTACCATTCTTACCTACGTTCCAAGGAACATAAGGACTTTAAATGTCCCCAGTAGTTAGAGGTTCGAGTTAATTTATGCGGCGGTGAAGGTTGTATGTTTTCCAGCTCTTCAGTCTCCTGCCATGAAGGTGGCCGTTAACATACAGCAAAACTGCAGCCTGGAGAGCATATTACCCCTGAATTATGGGAGTTTTAGTAATGGGAATGACAGGTGAGGGTGGTATTAGTGGAGGCTGTGAAGGTGGGGAGGGGATGGTGATAGAGGTGACGAAGGGAGGGGGGGAGGTTAAGGAGGAGCCGGAAGTGGTATCTTCACTTAGCCTCAGGGCTCCAGCTTCTTGTCTGCTCTTGAGGGACAAATTAAGAAATATGGTGGTAGGGGAAAACTCTAGTATGTTAGCTGAGACACTAACGAAGAAAGAAAACTGGCAGCCAGAGAGTAAGAGAAACCTATGAGGGAGGGAAAGTGTGGAAAGAGGGAGAAAGGGTCCTGTAGCTCGATTGCTACTGTACTCATCTCACACATTGATGTCCGTGGTTCGATCCCCAGTACGGTTGGAAAAATAAGGCATGTTTCTTTAATACACCTGCTGTCCCTGTTCAACATAAATAAAATAGGTACCTGGGTGATAGCCAACTGGTGTGGGTCGCATCCTGGGGACGTAACCTAATTTGCCCGAAATGTTCTTCATAACAAGGGACTTTCTGTATAGTAGTATGTCACTGATACTGTCAGCATAGTTGCTGATCCCTGTATTCCCAGTATTATATAGCATAGCATATTAGTATCATCCCTGTGCTTTAGACACGAGATCCCTCGTAAGCCTTTGGCTTTGTGTGACGTCATAGGCATACACATGGGCAGTGATCCCTTTGTCCCGCTCTCACTCGGCGGCAGACCTACAAGACGTGAACAGGCTTGGCACCGGGCTCCATCTCCCATCTCAGTCTGACAATATATCTACCATCCTACAAGTGTGTCTACTTTCAACCTACGATATCTCCATTTAAGAACCCTTCCGATAAATGGTGACAGCGGTGAGCCTGTAATTCTGACGATTACAGCGATTTCTGGAGATAAAGTTGTCGACCAGCAAGACGGCCATTTCGCGTTACCAGTAGGCCTACCGAGGTTCACCCCATCCAGCTACCTCAAGCCAGCTACTCTACCAGCTTCTACATTATTCACTGGTCAGTCTCTTTGTATTAGTGTTTTCCTGCTTTTTTTGCATTACTCCCGAGGGTTGACCCGAGTTTGCAAAATAAGCCAGCTTCCATCTGTGGTGGGGGAGTCAGAACACCCGAGTCCAGTCCAGCCTAGCCTACTCCATCCAATTATTTTGCCTGCCAAGCCAGCTTCCACCACCTGCTGTGCTCATCGTGTGAAGTTATCAAGCTATTCTGTTGTGAAGGGTTAAGATAAGCCAGCTAGCAACTAACCCAGGTGTCTTACCCCAGTACTCAGGCAAGCCACGTGACTAGTCTTCATCGCTTGTGATTCAAGTTCCAAGCATTCTGAGTGCTCCTTGTCATCCTTGTGGTGTTTGTAGTATTCGTGGGTTTCTCCTAAGCCAGCCGGCTTAGAATTATCTTCGCGGCAGTGTGGGTTTTCTCAGTGAGGCTTACGACGTTCAACCCATAAGCCCAGCCACTCACGATCACGTGTGTCGCACCATTGCCGGTCTCAGACGCCTCGCTCAGCCTTTACCCACAAACCCAACTACAGTCGGCCATTACAACTCACCTACCTCATCAGTGTTTTGGTGCTCTGCTAAGGGTTGTAGCACCATATTTTAAGGACCACATAAGGGGTCAAGAGCTAGAGAGTGGCGCGCCATCTTTAAAAGCCTCCTGTGTGTTGTCTCTCGCCGATTTAAGCGCAATTCTACGATCATCTGTGCAGAGGACAGCAGCAAGACGATATAAACAATCCATCAATCTCATTTTTTCAAGTGTTACAGCTATAATATTTTTTTTTTAGAGACATTTCTTTTGTGTTCCCAGTGAATTTTTCTCTTAGTGACATTCAGTGACTCTTGATCAGACTCAGTGTTTATCATGTACTGATTGCATAAATTTCTTTTAATCTCCTTAATTCAGTGTTAATTTTCGTGCATTATTTTATATCTGTTGTGTTGTGTTTCTTTTTATACACTTGAAGTAAGTACTGAGTGTTTTTCCTTTGTTGTGTGTGCAACATATGAGCAATATAGAACTTGTGTTTAACACTTCAGAATTACCTTTGTGTTCTCAGTATTCCAGTGAAGTATTTCAGTAAATTTTTCACCTCATATTCTGCATCACAACTCAGTGTTGTCTGTTATATTTTTTTTCCTAGCAATTGTGTATTTTTGTTTGTTCCCTGTGTGTTGAACATTCTTGTGTTCATATTTTTCCATTCAGCCAGTGTTTAATTTGTCTTATTTCCACAGACAATAGTGCCATTTTTAAAGCTCCAGCAAGAAATCTGTTTACAAAATTTTTTTAAAAACATCAAGTTTCATTGCAAGAAAATTCTAGTACTGAGTTTATGTTGATGTTTTGTGCTCTGCATCACTGTAAGTGTTGTATTTCTTTTTGTTGTGTGTTTTAGCACCTATTATTTTTCATATTTTATTGAACAAATTCACTCTTAGTGCAATTTTTTTAAGTTCTCCTTTTAAAGTAAATTGTTCTTTTGCTTGTTGTTTAAGTGCAGTTAAGAGTTAAAGTGTTCATTCCTTGATATATTTCTTTTCTTGTGTGTTATAATTTTAATTATTGCACACAGACTCATTTTGCAATAATTCTTGTGCAAATATTGTGTTGCTATTAAAGTTTTTCTTGCAGAAAATTTTATGCAGTGTTGTGCAATACAGTTTATTACAGTGCAGTTTCTTATGTTCTGTTCTGTGCATAGTATTTTATTCTGTCTGTGTCATTTTATTTTTTTTATTTCAGTGAATTGTGTGTTTGTTTTAATTTTTGCACAAGTTTATTGAGTCCATTTTATTATTTTATTGTGTATTTTCCTTGTTGCATTGAAAGTAAAGACAACTCACTGTGCCATTTATTCAATTTAAAGTAAAAGTTGAGCATATTAGATTTGAGCAAAGTACAAGTTCTCTTGATTTTCAGTGTTTGCTAAGTTGCATATTCTTCTTGTGTGAGTTCTTTGCTTACTGTGTAACTTGTCAATTTTTAATTACTTATGCAGAATAGTTAAGCATTTTTTTCCATTTAAGCTTATTGTGTCATTCTCTCCATTTTTCTTGACTTATGCCCTTCAGTATTTTCACTGAGAAGATGTCCCAGTCACTTTTGAATGTTCACTTAGTGTATCATTCCAGTCAAAGTCAATATGAATCAGTCCACAGTACCAACATTCCCTTACTGACTGAAAGACAATACCTAGCCCTTGAGCAATGTGTTTGTTCTCACAGCTTGTATCTGAGATTTGTTAAAGTGCTGCGAAATGTGAAGTTCAGATTAAGTTCCTATAGATCCGTGAATTACTTATTAACGTAGCCGAGCGGTCAGGCACTAGTAATTCTGTCACTCCCATCTGTGTTCCACCTATACCTTCAGACTTGCAGGATAGTGTTCCGTTGCCTCAAGTGTCCGGGGACACTCAGACTGCCTTGAGTGCACAGCCTATCCCTGCAATGACTGCTAGTTCGAGTAGTAGTTTCTCCACAGGGGATGCCTTGTCAGAAAACGATTACTTGCAACTAGTAATGCCATCTCTTTTGATGTGACATGCTGTCTGCAGAAAGACGTCTCTGTTACAGCAAGTGTTCTCACTAGAGTGTCTGTTGTTGTTCCTTGTGTTTCAGATGGTGATCCCATCCTAGTTGACAGTAATCAGTGCATTGTAAGAAGTTATTTCTCGAGTAACTTTCACATGTTAACGTTTGTAAGTGTAGTTTCTTTATAGCTGATACCTCGTGTCACTGTGTGCGACTCAGATTGAATATCAGCATTGTTCACCGTGTTCATTTCTTTTCTCCTGTGCTTGCAGTTGAGATAGTAGATTCGTTCTCCCTTGCTCATATTGCGTGTTATAGCGTTAATTTTTTCAACCGGGGGGAGTCATCCACTCCACCGAGTTTGTTCTTTCCTCCAGTAAGGAAGAACTGATACCTTTATTCCAGAACAAACAGCCTACTGGAAGGTTAGCCAGATGGACCTTGACTATCCAAGAGTTCAATCCCACTTTTGAAAATTTACCTGGCAAGTCGAATGTAGTCGCAGATGCTTTATCGCGACACGTTAGTGTAGTTACTGCAGATCCTCCATTTGCTGTCGAGGATGTCAAAAATGCCCAAAGAACCGATCCCTTGTGTTCTGGTGTGATTCGATTCCTGCTCCAGGAAGATCTTATTCTTACTGTGAAGCCACCAGTACCCATTAGTGACTTTGTAACGAGCCAAGAATTACTGTATCGAATAGTCGAGTTGAGTACTCCTAGCAGACGAGTTAGTAATTCCACAGTCACTAGTGATTGTACCTGTATCTTGTAGATACTCCTTCAGATCTCTCAGTCAAGGCATGTGTTAGCCATTGCAGAGGAATTCGATCCTCCCAGAGATGATAACCATTCTGCATATGTAAACCTTACCCTCGCAGAATTGGGTTTAAATGTACATAGTCTGTATAATTAGATGTCCGAGATGAATGAAAGTGTCAACTGTGTGTTTATTATTAGCTGATCAGTTTGTCAGAAATTTTCGTGTTCACGTTCCCTCCGTATTCTGAGAATTAACAGTCTAGATTTGTGTGCACCGAATCTGCCTTTCTGTTAAACACTTCTTTGTATATATTTATTCTTCCTCAGAATCCGTAGAGTGCATGAATACAGATCGATCGATCAATTCCATCCATATTGTATAATGAATTGTTCTTATAGTTTGTAATGCATTATGTTAACACCCTCTATGTAATGTCCATTATGATACCATCCATTAGTTCTAAGATATATATGAATTTGTTATTGTATAGAATCAGCCCAGATCCGCCTGCCTGTTCAGCCTATAGATAGTAGTGTATGTCGGGACGACATACGTAACATGACCGAGCTGTCAGCATAGTTGCTGATCCCTGTATTCCCAGTATTATATAGCATAGCATATTAGTATCATCCCTGTGCTTTAGACACGAGATCCCTCGTAAGCCTTTGGCTTTGTGTGACGTCATAGGCATACACATGGGCAGTGATCCCTTTGTCCCGCTCTCACTCGGCGGCAGACCTACAAGACGTGAACAGGCTTGGCACCGGGCTCCATCTCCCATCTCAGTCTGACAATATATCTACCATCCTACAAGTGTGTCTACTTTCAACCTACGATATCTCCATTTAAGAACCCTTACGATAATACCAGCTAGACCTGTATACCTCGTACATGTACTTGTTGAAGCAGAGATTATTATTATTATTATTATTATTATTATTATTATTATTATTATTATTATTATTATTATTATGAAGGGATGGAAATTGAGGATGAAGTAAGGAAAAGTTATTTAGGAAGCAGGAAAAGTTTAGGAGGAGGAGGAGGAGGGAGGAAAAGATAGGAAGGACTGAAGGATATAGATAAGGTAGGAAACGTCAAGAAAGCTAAAGATGAAAGAGTTTGAAATAAGAAACTGGAGAGTGAAGAAGTATGGAAGGGGAAAGAGGAAAAAAATACCGTACATGAATAGAAGGAATCGAGGGATTAAGTTAGGTAAGGTTTGTTAGGAAACAGAACAAGTGTTTCCTGACTCGGGTCATAATCATGTGATGACCCGCCCCTGGAGCTTTTGGTCATCTGGCCGAGGCCTTCCTCTGGCTTACCGGTGCACCCCTTTCAAAACAAAGATTATAATTAATAACCATTTACTTGGGAATGAAGGAGAAAGGTGGAATAGGACGCAGACACGGGGAGAGAAGAGCAGCAAGGGTGAAGAGAAATAGGGAAGGCAGCAGGGGGGGGGGGTTGGAGGCTGGGACACACTTCCCTCTACTATTGTATCGCTGTATAGCCCTTGTGGCTTAGCGCTTTTTTTATTATAATAATAATGATCTATTGTATCTGGTCACAAAATAACTGAATTCAACATTCGTTCTTCCCGCCTAATTCACTCAAATATTTCACGTCTCCATTTTCTTTCCCTTTCGTTATTTTCTCTTTGTTCCTCATGTTTCATTTTTTACATCATTTTCTTCTCATTCTCTTTATACTTAATATTTACTTCCCACATCGTCATTTCTCTTAAGTCTCTTGTTAACCCTATTTGTTCAGAGGTTTGAATAACGTCATGAATGACCCAGCCGGAACTGAATATTTTAAGATGACTCAGTGGATCATCCATTTTGATATTTTTCACCACACACTCTCCCAGTCTTCCATCTTACTCACCCAGCCTTCCTCACTCATCCTTCCATCTTACTCTCCCAGCCTTCCTCACTCATCCTTCCATCTTACTCTCCCAGCCTTCCTCACTGATCCTTCCATCTTACTCACCCAGCCTTCCTCACTGATCCTTCCATCTTACTCACCCAGCCTTCCTCACTCATCCTTCCATCTTACTCACCCAGCCTTCCTCACTGATCCTTCCATCTTACTCACCCAGTCTTCCTCGCTGATCCTTCCATCTTACTCACCCAGCCTTCCTCACTGATCCTTCCATCTTACTCACCCAGCCTTCCTCACTCATCCTTCCATCTTACTCACCCAGCCTTCCTCACTGATCCTTCCATCTTACTCACCCAGTCTTCCTCGCTGATCCTTCCATCTTACTCACCCAGCCTTCCTCACTGATCCTTCCATCTCACTCACCCAGCCTTCCTCACTGATCCTTCCATCTTACTCACCCAGCCTTCCTCACTGATCCTTCCATCTCACTCACCCAGCCTTCCTCGCTGATCCTTCCATCTTACTCACCCAGTCTTCCTCACTGATCCTTCCATCTTACTCACCCGCCTTCCTCACTGATCCTTCCATCTCACTCAACCAGCCTTCCTCACTGATCCTTCCATCTCACTCACCCAGCCTTCCTCACTGATCCTTCCATCTTACTCACCCAGCCTTCCTCGCTGATCCTTCCATCTTACTCACCCAGTCTTCCTCACTGATCCTTCCATCTCACTCACTCAGCCTTCCTCACTGATCCTTCCATCTCACTCACCCAGCCTTCCTCACTCATCCTTCCATCTCACTCACCCAGCCTTCCTACACTCATCCTTCCATCTCACTCACCCAGCCTTCCTCACTCATCCTTCCATCTCACTCACCCAGCCTTCCTCACTGATCCTTCCATCTCACTCACCCAGCCTTCCTCACTGATCCTTCCATCTCACTCACCCAGCCTTCCTCACTGATCCTTCCATCTCACTCACCCAGCCTTCCTCACTCATCCTTCCATCTCACTCACCCAGCCTTCCTCACTGATCTTTCCATCTCACTCACCCAACCTTCCTCACTCATCCTTCCATCTCACTCACCCAGCCTTCTTTCTCACTCACACATTTCCACCCCTCGCACATAATAAATCACATATTGGTTACAATTTGCGAGAAGTGGTAAGATAATACCGACAAGATGTGGAAAAAGACGTTAATATACATTTCAGGGGAAATTTTACCATCCTGTGTATGGTAGCGCAAGAGCATGTGGATACCTAGTAGCGAGCGGTGAGGTAAATAGTGGCAGACAGGCAGACGGAAAGACAAACATTTTACTAACAGCTTGATAGATCAGGCTAGAAACCTGGAGGTCTGGTCTGGGTCTCAGGCCACGGAAGCGGTGACCTCCGGAAGAGACTCAAGGTAAACGGAGGTAAACAGCAATAGCCTGACTGAACAAGCAATCAGGCTCAGCCACAGGTCGAGCTGCGAGAGCAGATAACCCCTCGAAACCGTCACAGGCTTATCAAAGGTATATTAATGCACATTCAATGATTCAACGAGGCAGACAATTAAGTTGTAGATACCTGGTTCAGAAAACCGACAAGGTAATGAGCGAAACACTTGTGCAACACTTGGGTGTCTTTATTGTGGAAACGTTTCGCCAGTCAGTGGCTTCCTCAGTCCGATGTTGGACTGAGGAAGCCACTAACTGGCGAAACGTGTCTCGCTCATCAAACAATACGATATATAAGTGTTAATCCACTTTACACTCACACTGTGCTGAGCTGAGTCTATTTACTTAGAGAGAGAGAGAGAGAGAGAGAGAGAGAGAGAGAGAGAGAGAGAGAGAGAGAGAGAGAGAGAGAGAGAGAGAGAGAGTGAGTGTGTGTGTGTTCGAGCGGTGGTGTGTGAAGTGAGGGAAAGGTGGAAGAGGATTGGGGGGAGGGGGGTTGCCTTCCTTTCTCCTGCAGATGTTAAAACATTGTAACGAAAAAAACTTTAATAATTCTTTCTTTCATTTCAGGTGAGTTGTATTGTGGAGGCAGACCTTAGTAGAACAAACCTGAGCGGCTCAAGGTAAGTATTACGCAGCTTTTCTGGTTAATTTCGATGACTGGAGCTGTCTCTTGTGTCTGCACGTCTCTGTTCATTTTAGGGAAGCGAAGGATCTTGAGAATTAAGTGTGTTGTGCGTGAGAGATTATTTCTGATTATTTGTAGTTTTGTGGGCAGGGTTATGCTTGTAGTACACAATAACCCGCGCATAGAAGAGAGGAGCTTGCGACGACGTTTCGGTCCGATTTGGACCATTTACAAAGTCACGCTAACGAAAATGTAAATGGTCCAAATTGGACCGAAACGTCGTCGTAAGCTTCTCTCTTCTATGTGCGGGTTATTTGTGTATCGTTCCAGTCACGGTATTGTGCCTTTTTTGTTATTTATGCTTGTAGTGTCGCGCCATCAGTATTTGTTATATATAATTTCTGAGGTTTCCATTTATTGCAACACATTATCTTCTCTTGGATGGACACCATTTGTTGCAACACATGTCTTCTCTTGGATGGACACCATTTGTTGCAACACATGTCTTCTCTTGGATGGACACCATTTGTTGCAACACATTTCTTCTCTGGATGGACACCATTTGTTGCAACACATGTCTTCTCTTGGATGGACACCATTTGTTGCAACACATTGTCTTCTCTTGGATGGACACCATTTGTTGCAACACATTGTCTTCTCTTGGATGGACACCATTTGTTGCAACACATTGTCTTCTCTTGGATGGACACCATTTGTTGCAACACATTGTCTTCTCTTG